TTTTTTTTTTTTTTTGCTTTCTTTCTCCTTTTTTTTTTCGTCGACAAGGAAGAAGGAAATAGAAAACGAACTGCGAGAGTTCATAGAACACGAGAAATAGCGACTTTGTTTCTGCCGATATCTTAGGTAGTGAATTTTGAAATACCTAGACGACCGAGAGACTTTGTAAACGGTGTGATTTGTTTCGAACGGCGAGAGGAGCAACTTAATTAATTTAATCATTACTTTATTATCGCGCTGCGAGGCGTCGGCGTACGATGCGTCATTATTGTAATTTTCTTCTCTTTTTTTTTTTTTTTTGCGAAACTGATTCTTGAAATAAAATTGAGAACAGTAGTAGTTGGTTGTCCTGTTAATTCACCGTTTCCCCAATTTTATTCCCATTTTTTCCCCACTCGATTTCCGAGATCTAGTCTTAATTGACGTTGAATTGAATTACGTAAGTGATCTGCGAGGAGGTTAAGTTACTTCACTTTCGAACACTTTATTCCGATTTGCATTTTATTGTTGATAAGTTCGAGGGTCAGAGCGGAAATTTTTATTTGAGAAAAGGGACGAGGGAAAGATTGGAGCGGCGTGCGAATCGAACAAACCACTTTTTATAACAAACTGTGCTCAAGACACACGATTTATTATTAACCTTCATCCAACTTTAACAACATACAATATAATGTAGTAATAAAAACGTATCAGTTAAAAGTGTAATAATAATAGAGGCGTCGAACACGGAAGAAAAAAGATCGCCGTTACTTCGCGACCGCCATTCCATCTCCACCACGCAACATCCTCGAGGTTGTCTCGCGGCTTCTAACTCTATCGAATTCCTTTTCTCCACCAGAGTCCTGGATTGCCTGTCTGTCGCGTAAAATTCGTGGCTGAGAAATGCCGGCGGGGCTTGTCGATGCTCGTGAAAAAGGGGCAACTATGCGCGCGTGTACACTCCCGCTCAAAAATTTCGAGCGTGTTTCAGAAGAAATACTCATAATTCGTAACGTTGTTACTTTATATTTTAATCATTTAAACATTTAAAAATTATCTCACAGTACCAAAACACATCAATTGACGATATTTAAAAATCAAAGTTTATTAACTCTAATGTCCTTTTTTCCTCAAGGAATAATGTCCAGAGAATGTTGGTTTGGTTTCAACGAGTAAAGGCTGGTCTCCAAACTTTTCAGTAGGAGTGTACGTACATGTACGGATACATATGTACGAGTGTGTAATTCTGTGATACGGCGAAAAATGCAGGGAAGAGGGTTGGATTAAAAAAGAAGAAGCTTCTCGAGAGAGGGATAGAACAGTTTCGCGTGTGATTCTTAGCACCGTTACGTCGATGCGCTTAATTAATACGCTAACATCTATTAGTCGTGTAGAAAAAACATTTTCTCTCAGTTGCTCTCATGTTCTCTCTGTTTCGCATGAAATCATCCTTCCATCCTTTCTCTCTCTCCCTTTCGTTCTCTCTCTCTCTCTCTCTCTCCCCCCTTCGTCTCTCTTTCTATCTATATTTTGTATAATTATATTACGTTAGAACAGCCTCGCTTCGTGCCAAGAATTTGATCGCTCGACCAGTCATGTCTTCCTTCACGTCTGACTCGCGAGTGGCCATCACCCGCGTGAGACGTAAATTCGCGGTTTACATCGTCGGAACGCGCCCTTGGAAACTGGGCCTTCGATCAGAAATGCGGCAGAGTATCTCGAAACTGTTTCCTC